AGCTGCAGCTAGCTGCAGCTAGCTGCTAGCCGCAGCAAGCCATACCTAGCCACAGGTAGCTAGCTGCAGCTAGCTGCAGCTAGCCGCAGCTAGATACACAGTTAGCCAGCAGAACCCGGCCACAGCTAGCCAGAGGGTGTGCAGAATCTAGCGGGCTACTTGGCTAGCTAGCTAGCTAGCTAGGTAGCTAGCTAGCTAGCCGGGTAGCTAGTTAGTGAGGCAGCTAGCTAGCGGCTAGCTAGCTAGCCAGCTAGCTAGTTGGCGAGGCAGCTAGCTAGCTAGCCATCACAGAGTGACTGTATACACAGAGGTAGGAGCTTTATCTGCGCAAGGCTAGCTGCAGCAGCTAGCCGCAGGCAGCAGCAGCAGCGGCAGCAGCAGCAGCAGCAGCAGCTAGCTGCGGCAGCAACACATTTAGCTGCAGAGGACACAGCAGCAACAGCAGCAGGCTGCACCGGTGACAGCAGCTAGCTGCAGCAGCGACAGCAGCTAGCTGCAGATGCAACATTAGCAGCGGCAGCAAACTGCAGCAGCAGCAGCAACAAGCAGCAGCAACCGCAGCTTCTTGCAAATGCAACAGCAGCGGTAGCAGCAAGCTGCAGCAGCAACAGCAGCTAGCTTCAGCAGCAACAGCACCTAGCTGCAGCAGCAACAGCAGCCCGCGATAGCCCTGGTGTCACGTGTCTGTTCTGCACGCATGCAACAGCAGCAGCAGCAGTTGCTGCTGCTGCTGTGCGACTTGCTGCTGCTGCTGCTGCTGCTGCTACCCGTAGTTAGCCAGAAAGCTGGGATTCTTGTAGCTAGCTGCTGCCTGCTGCGAGCCACCCCACAGCAGCAAAAGGTAAGATTAGGGTTTAGGGTTTAGGGTTTAGGGTTTAGGGTTTAGGTGTTCCAAGGGCCTAGTATTACCCTCTTCTTGTAAGTTGCACACGCTCCGTGGCGATATTCTGGATTTTCGGGTTTAGGGTTTAGGGGTGAGTGTTTAGGGTGTAGGGTTTAGGGTTTAGGGTTTGGGGGCTGGCTGGCACGGTGCAGAAATCCTGTGGTTTATGGTGACTGAGTTTCTAAACAGAAAACGCTAAACCCTTATCCAAAAATAAAACAAAGCAAAATTAGAAGACACCTCAAACCCTAAACCCTAAACCCTAAACCCTAAACCCCAACCACGAGCCACAGCGGCTTCTGCTACAGGGCCCGCGGCGCAGCGCAGGGCCTGCCCAAACCCTAAACCCTAAACCCTAAACCCTAATCCGAAAATCCCTGAATCTGAAACCCTAAACCCTAAACCCCAGCAGCTTCTAAGGAACTGAAAACCCTCAAGAGTTACTCTTCCCTCTTCCTGAGCTCTTCAGCCCCCAGGGGCCCCAGGCAAGTCTAGCCCTAAACCCTAAACCCTAACTGCCAAACCCTAGACCCTAAACCCTAATTAAAACTAGAGCTTTACAATTTCAATGCTGGCACCCGCGGGGACACTTCGGAGCGCGGCCCAAAGCCGTCTTGCTGCTC